ATATAAAATATCAAAAAAAAAAAAATAATTTTTAACTATACACAGAAGCGCCCGATGTCAGAGACTTTATGCAAAAGAAGCTACGAGCTACATAACGTATAGTGACACAAGTAGCGTGACCGGTGCGATTCCCTACAACATTATGTTCTATTCGTTATTGCATAAGGGACGTATGCGTATAAATTCGACGATCAACGCATTGTTCCAGCAACGAGTGCAGCGGTTGTGTAAAATCTCAGCGAAAAAAAAACGCCGCACATACACAACAAATGCAAAATATCAGTTCTGGACACGCTTATTATCGCGACACATCATGCGGAACTCGATTCTTATAATAATAGAATCGAACCGGTATATGTGCCAGTTACATCGATCGTATTTTCGCGAGATATGCATATTGCGGAAACGCTGTTCATTGACATACGGGACTTCCGGTGAAGTTAGTTTATCGCTGCAAGAGTAACTTTGTGACATAATGAAAAGAAGCTTCTCTTTAGTTGAAATACCGAGAAAGTAATTCATGAATCTTAATTGCGTCTTTTTAATTTCTATAAAATTCCTCTAAAGAAAAATAGAGAAACTCAACAACGAAACTTATAATTGGAGATTTCTTTCTGATTTATGTAAGATTCTATAAGAGAAGCCATATCGTTATGCATTTATATTATGTATGAATGTTCACTGCCTGTATTATCCTATACTTTATAAAATACATAGTTATCAAGGAGCAATTTGAAGACGCTTTTTAATGTGGGTATCCGCATAAAAGTGAATGACGCGACTTCCGACATACTATAACATTAATATAAAAATATCAAATTTACTAAAGTACCCATTTATACTTTCTAATGTACAAGTTATATTCTTTCTTACACTACTCTTTCTTTATATTTCCGTAGAATTTAATCTGAAAAAATGAAAATTTCAACAGATTAATAAAAAATCTAAAAATATAGTCTATTTAAAAAAGATGTAAGAACTTATAAATATAAAAAAAAAACTTAACAATAATATTCTTGCAATAAAATAATCACGCGCATATAAAATAGAAAGTTAAAAATTTTACAAAATATAATTGATGAGTTTGTAATGCAAAAATAATTTGTCTATCTAGCACATCCTAAAAGAGAATTAAATCCTTATTTATGCGTACATATTTATTCACCAAATCGATTTCCACGAATCTGCACACGCATATTTCCATTTCTTTAAGCAATCGTAAATCACCGTTCCTCTGATCTGATATTAAACTAATGTTTCTATCTTTTATATTTTTCTTATGTATACATTGCAATATCTTTGATACATTATGAATTTTTTATATGTAATGCATTTTTAGGTTTAGTGTATCTTTTTATCAGTTTCTTGAACTTAATCAAAACGAGAAATCAGATTACAAAACATGCACGATCTACTGGGCTTAATGTGAATGATGAAACTGCAGTTTTTTTCGCATTTTAAACAAGTAATCTGCATACTAGCATACTCTTTTTATCTATGACCCAAATAAATCTACATACTTACATGCAAATAAATTATTTTCGCATTGCTTACACGCAAATAAATTATTTTTGACAATATAATGTGTGAACGGTAAAGTTTGATTTGTAACTTCAATATTTTGCAATGATTAAAAATGTTAAACTATACACTACAATATTAGAGACGATTAGAGTAATATCAAGAGAATAAAATAATAATGTACTCGTAATAAGATAATAATATACTCGCCATACTATGAATTGAAGTGGAAACCGATCGTTTATTAAATCACGCTGAGATTAATTTCCTCAATTTATAATTACATGCAAAAAATTTAATCGAAAGACCGACGTGTATCTGCATCTGGGAATTCTCGCAATACGTACCGAGGCAAAGACTCGCGTATTCGGATAATGTAATAAAAAGATAATATAAATCGTAAAATAAATATTCTGTAATTTGTGACACTTCACACATATCTATCCGAAAAATCTCTGCTATTTATAATTTATCGCGTTACCGCGGATCGTTAATACGAAATGATTGTTATTTGTTCCCTGTACAACGAACGATTTTTACATACGAGGATACTCACGTGCGACGCGTGATGCATCGTGCGTGCGGCTCGTGACTACTAAAAGACAGACGTCGTGTCCGATGTCATTTATACTTTCTCTCCTTAAATGTCTTTATCCTCAATCATCAGGGTGTCTTTACCCTCGATGCAAACATTAGGATAAATCACAAAATTTTCTTCTTTATTTCTCGATAATCTAAATTGAAAAAGCTCTAATTTTATTAATTTTGTAAGTAAATAATGTGTTCGCAGTTTTGACATTTATAGCATAATAATTTACCGGTTACTTATTTTTAAAATTCATGACTAATAAAGTTAATAATAATATAACATTTCGAAGACGAACGTATATTTTCGTATTTTAGTACGTATAAATCTTATTATATTATCTTATAGTATTTTATAAATAATATAGCAATGAAAATGGTAGCATATAAATACAAAATTATGAATATATACATAAAATATATATTGCAATGAGTTTCATCTCCAACTGAAAAACTTAAAAAATTATTAAATTTTATAATTTAGGATAAAAATTATTAAAATGATTATATATGAAATACCTTCTAATGTGATCTTAGAAAATTTATTTTAAGAATAAATCGATCTGACATTAAATTTTTTATTAATTATTATAGAATCCTTGCTAGGCCATTGTAATATTGAGTGCTATATAATATATTTGAAAAGTCGTTGTAACAATATCCTATATATTTGTAAAAATAGAAGTATAATATGATAAGCCTTCATGTTGCAACTTCAGTCAACCCGTACATATCGAATATATAAAACAAATCAGCTGATAAGACAGATAGCATCTCTTGCTGTTAAATTATATACATTTTTACTTGTGTAAAATATAATTCAGATGGTTATTTTATATCACGTTAGTATTAGTATGCTGTTTATACATTATTACAAATGCGTTTTCTAAAGCTTTTAAATAAGGACATTATTTATCTGTACATTTGTGTAAACGTACAATAGAAATTGTGCATAAAACAAATATAAATATTGTTCTGTGTTGCATTTCAAATAAAAAAAAATAAAACTGAAATGCAATTATTTATTAAAAATACAAAGATATAAATGTTCTACATATAAAAAAAATACAACATGCTGCATCGATTTTTTGTGATAAGAACTTTGCTCAGATGAAAATTTTAAAAACTTAGGTAAAATTGATGGGTTTCATATCAATTTTATTTATAATTAGATGTGGCGTGCAGTTATGTTTGCAAAAAGTATAATAATTAATGTATAATAATCGTAACAAATTATCTTTATATAATTTATATCTTGATTTATGTGTATTTAAAACTATTGTAGACTTTGCTCACTTCAAAAACACTTCAAATATTTTTAGTTTAATAGTAGTTTAATAGTATTAATTTTCTTCAAATAAGCAAATCATAATTTTTGAAACTTACTTTTTTTGTTACTATTCTGTACTTTTATTTATTTTTATAGTCCCTTTCCGCGTATTCTTTCTAATATTTTTTAGATTTAACAATAAGTGGTAATAATCTCCATGTTATATCAGACATAGTATGCAATATGGTACTTTGTTTAAAAACATTAGCAATCACTGTTAGAATCGGCCAGCGACAGTCGAAGGCTATTTGTGCTGATAGTTACAGCGAAAGGTTAACGATCCTTTTTTTCTCGTTTTATTTCATAGTGCCGAGACAGATCATTGCGCAATTTTTGAAACCTAAAAATTTAGCTTATTATTGATTAAAATTTATTTTTGGGAAATTATGCTTTTGGAGATTAAGATCTTAATCAACTTAAGACCAATAATACTTAATCAGCGATTTATGATAATTTATAGATTGGAGGACGGGAAGATTCTCTCGATGCCTGGTTCTGGATCTCAAACGGGAATAATGTGATTCTAAAAGCGCATCATATCGATATATAAGTTTATGGTATCCGAATTCTTCTAATGAGGATTTACAACAGTGCCTGAGCATAGACAGATTACATCAAAACGAATCAATTTTTATTCTATTGCGATGTAATCAATGAAGATCTTTTATCTGCCAAAGAGGTAGATAATTTTTCATCTGGAATAGTTTGCCATATCTAATATTATTTGCATGCGTTATCATATTGAAAAATAATTTTTATTATTTCATTATTATTATGATATAGATTATATTTATCCAAAGTGATAATATAAATGTAGAATTTATACATATCATATATATATCAAACAATAGCAATTTAAATCTATTACTAATGTGTTAAATACGTTGCTAAATGAATTAATTGTTTCTTTTTTAATGTACAGATAGGCGGCAGTCGTCTGGCAGCAATATTTCGAACAATGATTTATTGTGGGGTCACAATAGAGAATTGTATGGTTGTCTTTTGCTATATAGACACATGTGTGAAATATCGGTTTATTTGGAGGCAAAGTGTGATTGTAAACGCGATGTTTCTTGTCAAAGACGTAAGAGAATTATAACTATAAAGATAACTGTAGAATTAATGTAACATACATGATAAGAATAAATTTATTGACTCGATTATATATTATTTTAACATTTGTCTTTTATAAATTCTTGAATACATAAAATGTAAAACTCGATAATTGAATTTTTAGAATATTTTTGATATTTAAAGAATAACCATTCAAAAAGTTAGATAGAATGTTATGCATGCATTAAAGAAGTGGTATCTTGATTTTTCACAGAATAATATATCATAAAAATTATCTATAACATTAGAAAATAAAAAAGTTATAAAATAAAAGTATATTTAGTTATAAATTACAAATTTCAGATTATGTTTAATTACTTATTTCATATGTTTGATAATTGCAGAACTGCAGCATATCTGGATTGATGGCCAATGTAAATTGTCGATGTTCAACGATACGCTGCTCTGGAAATGGACTTGGGAAAGTACTGGCGAGCTAGTTTCCGAAATAGATGCAAGCTTTGTTCCATGGTGCTCAGCTGGTCAATGTCACAATAATGATGCAAATTGCTTGAACTTTGATCATGCAGATTACACTCCCATCATATATGGGCTGGACTGCAATCAAAATCAAACGTATATTTGTCAACCTTGTAAATATATGAAAATATTCTGAAAAATAGGAAAGTATTATGGAATAAGAGAATTTATGATAATTTGCCAATTATATATAGATAATTTAAATTTGGTAAATTCATTTTCTGTGCCAATCCTAGAAATAATCATAATTACTTAATAAGATAATAAATGGAAAAGAATAATTATATATAAATCTCTTGCAATAAATTCTCAATTTTATGAACAAATGAAAAGTACTTCAAATTTATAATATTTGAGATACATATTTATATTCTTTTTATTCAACATATATTTTTATATTACCTCAAAAATAATTTTTTCTTCTTGAAAGATTTTGTATTCAATGAACTTTCAATGAACGACTATTTTTACAGTTTTCATAACGGACACAGAGATTAATATCGTATAATAACTCACATAATTAATTTTTTATTTAGCATTAGTTTTACTTTAATGCCAAATTTATTAAAATTTTCTTTTAATAATCTTCATCTTTTAAGATGTAATGAACAAATTTAAAATTTGTGAAATCTGATTGCATATATTATGAATCATATCTTCATCAATAAACAATATAGTTTTAAAATATGTTTCTGTTTATAAATCTTGTTTATATAAATATAGAACATATAGAATTTCTTTAAAATAAAATCTGTTGTACTATTATACTTACTCTATATTATTGTATAGTTTACACAGATGTATCAATGGTATTTATATTTGATCCTTGCTAAAATTCTTCTTGAATCGCGTAAACATTTCTAAATGACAACATAAAGTATCGTATATAAATCTATTTTCAAATATTATAATAATTTGTCAAATACTACAATTATTAAGTATTATAATTAATAAATTATCATGTATCAATAATTTTATATTTTTCTTTAAATCTTTAGCTATAAATCTATAAAAGTCAAAATAGCTTGTCAAACTGCTTGTTGTATATATCGTGCAGTGAATAACTCAATTGTTTTTAATAATAAGATTACTAATAAGTAATTGTAAGCATCCAATCTTTTACTGTATCTGCGTTTCCTCTCTATTTTTTTTCTGGAAGAGAAAGTGTTGAATATGGAACTGTAGTCGAGAAGTATTCATGTGATAAAATTAAATTGAATAATAATTTATGTTATCATATGTTATTATCATAATGAGACATTCCACACTCTGCAACTACAAATAATACAAAACAATGTCACCAATATTCAAATATGTTTGAATAAGAAATAAAAAATAAGATAAAAAATGCGATAAGAATGCATTCTTTTGTTAGATCTGATTATTAAAATGAAAGTGAAGCATGGATAGAAAGATTCGCTTTCATTTACATACATGTATGAACATTGAAATAAACAGGTTAGAAACTAGCTCGGTCTATTTATCAAACATCCTTCAACTTTACTGTTGTTAACAAAACACCCAGATTCTCGTATACCGTTCTGTGAGCACGGTCCTTGCGAATCATGACTTTCGAGCTGTTTCTTGTTAGAAATATTTGCGACAACCGTGACAAGGGAGATGTTACCGTTCTTCATATCGTGATACATACTGGAGACATACAAAGACAACTGGAGATAGTTGAAAATTTCGTTAAAAATTTGAATGATTCGTATGATCGTAATAAACGTTCATTTTCACACCACATTGAAGAAAAAATATTAATTGTGGATACCTCGTATCATATCCATTTGCATAAAGACTTTAAACGATTTTAATTCCCGCGCCAAATGTTCGAGAACTGCTAGGTGATTTTCGGTAGATTTCGTGCGACTTCTTCGACTTGATTGGCTGATTTTAAAAATTTCGATTCCGCGAGAATACGTGTCGATATATCCACTAATGAGACAGCTCGGAATATCCGCGAATTACTACTTTAAAAATTGACCAATCAGGACAAGGAATACCGGCGCTAATTTCAAGACGTTACGTTCGGCTTCTTCCTCTTTTCCCGCAGAAACGGCGCTTGGTACAGACGTAGAAATTGCGAGCTTCGGTAATATCCGCACAGGTAAGCCGACAAAGAGGTAATCGAACCAAATAGATACGATTATATGCAATAGAATTGTTTTCTTGAATAGACTGTGAGAATATTTAATAATTGTATGGCATATTAGACGGGAATTATAAGAATAAAAAGTCAAGCGTCTTTTCGGTTAAGATAATCGGCCATTATGGATATACTTTTATTCTATCCGTCTTCCCAGTATTTGTTTAGAGACGAGTCTATTCTTCTACATGTATTTATAATAGAATTTACATTATGTCTAGTATTATCCTTATCGAAAGCTTGCTTAGGAATTAATCGTAGAGTATTTTATTAAGTCAACGGCGCGGCGCAGCGTCGCATTAATTTTCGAGACGCGAAAAATACCTCGTCGAACATGGTCTATAAATATGCGTTGGTTAGTGGGTATCAACTTGCGCAATTATTTAATTTGATTAAGCGATTAAACATATCGCGACAACGGCTTTTTGTCGAAGAAAATATTTTGCGCGCTACATTTATTTGAGTAGGTAGGAATAATGATAACAATTTATGGAAATCATTGTCTCTTATGATATACTCTCATATACTTATAATAATTTTCATGTATTAAGATCATATTTTAATCATTTTTGATCGTGTAGTGTATTAATATGGCGTTGTGTGATTATCGACGATTTACTAAAATCTCTGTTGCTCGCGCGAATGCAAGGAGTTAATTTCTAAAAACATCGCGAACGACTGTGAACATCGCGCGGTTTTCCTGCCACAATCAAGTGTGCGTCACCTGCCATTAAAATGCTGTGCAAAAGTACAGCTAATTAATTATATTCGGGTGTGATTAATATGCCCGTAATTGTAATTAATTGTTTTTTTTTTTCTAGAAAGTATCACGAAAGAGCGATAATAGTGAAATAAGAGAGGACAAGAAGAAGGCCCGGGGCGGCATCAAGCGACGGAATAACCATAAGGTGAATAATTTATTATTTTTTATGTGTATATTATTATTTGAAACAATTTAATAAAAGGAAAATTTTAATGCACGCTGTAATTAAATTTTGAGATGTAGTTTGGACACTTGTTTTAAATTAGATTAAATAGATAAATTTGTATATTTTACAGATTAACACTATATATTACGCTGTATAACTCAGTAGCTGCACATCGCACCGATAAGAATTTAAACTGTTTTCTATTTTAATTACAAGGTAATGGATTTATGAAAATTAACAGATATATGTATAAAATATATTTAAAAGATAACAAATACACTAGAAACAAAAATCAAATTATAATATTAATTTACAATCTACAAATTACAATTTATAATATTCTTCTGATATTCTGATTTATATATTAATGTATGAAAACTTGCATTCAAATTTATTTATTAAATTTGCAAATAATAATAAATGCAATAATAAATTTTTATTTATTAATTGTTTTTGTAAATTACTTCATATTAGAAGTCATATTATTTATCTTAAAATCATATTAAAATATAAAAATAATATGATAATAATAAAAATTTAAATTAAAAAGCAACATTGAAGTGAGTATTTACTATCTATTTATTAGTTACATAAAATAAAATTATAGAAAATTATATAATTATATATCTGCTGAATATTGTACGTCTCAAATATCAAATTTAATATTTATTTTCTAAAAATATTTTAAGTGCTGCTACAAATTGGATTTTATTAACATGTTACAGATCAACATAGAATTCTGTCAACGCCTCTGACAACCTAAGAGGAGGAGGAGGTCTGGGAAAAGCATTCGGCGACGGCGGAGCAGCTTTGGGGTGAGAATGTAATATTTATATATTAAATTGTAATTGTGTATTCAATCAAAATTTATTGGTTGTATTAAATCAAAATTTGTTAAAAGTGTTAAAACAAAATTTAAAAAATTATATGATTATGTTTTTATTTATTATTGTATGCATGAAAAATAAAACTCAATGCGTATAACAATAATATTTTGAAATATTACTTATTTTAGACGCTACTACAATTTATATTCTACTTGTATGTTATAGATCAACGTAGCTTCGATGCAGTCAACTCCGCCGCTGCGCATCGGGTGGTGAGTGAATTACATTTTATTACGAGGTAACGGTTTTGTAGTGAGTTGATTCTAGATTTAGATTTTAGATAGACTGTAGATTGTAGTTAGTTCTGTTACCTCAAAATGGATAAATGGATTACAACAAATTAGATTAATATTTCACTTTAATATAAACAGAAAACATTTTGTAAGATTTAAACTAATTTATTTTATAAACATACTATTGATCATTAATTGCGTATGTGATTATAAATTCGTTAAATAATTATATAAACATTAATAATTTAATTTTATATATATATACATTTCATTCTAATTTTTTGTAATCCAATTCAAGTGGATTCATAACTTGGCTCTACGTTGATTAGAGCGATATATTGTAAAATAATGTGTATGTGCCAAAAGATATTTTGCGGTTATATTATCGCGACTGAAAGGAAAACAAAAAGAAGTAGAATTAAAATTTGCAGAAGAATTTACGGTAATATGTTAGACTTTCTATAGTTCGAATTATACGCGTCAAATTATAATTTATTTTTTATTTCTGAGATTGACCGATACACTATCACGTATTTCGGAGAAAATAGCACGACGAGCCGTATTAATTGTAAATAAGTTGCGGATTAGCGACGATTTGGGCTTAACCCTTGCTCGAATGTAACGTTGAATTCCCGAGTTGTCGGCTCGTCGTATGATTCTTGCGCGAAATGGGATATTTCGCGAAACTCGAAATTGCCGTAAAATGTCGCGTGTTTTAGTGCGGGAGTGTCGTTCAATGTATCGCGCGTGTAAATCAACGGACTTTGACAATGGACAATTCTGACTTTTCTGAGAGGAGGAGGAGGTCTAGGAGAGGCATCGGGCTCCGGCAGAGCAACCCAGAGGTGAGCATTTATAATTTGTTTATTAGTTGTATTAAATCACAAACTTATGAATTGTATGAAATAAAAAAGAACTGATAAAATTATATAATTATGTATTTGTTGTGCGCACGTATCAAAAATAAAACTCTTAATGCGTACAATAATCACAATTCTTAGGAATATTAATTATTTTAAGCACACTGCTATAAGGCGGATTTCATTTATGTGTTGCAGATTAATGTATGGAGAGCTAACAATCTAGACAACCTTAGAGGAGGAGGAGGTCTGGGAGAGGCATCGGGCGCCAGCGGAGCAACCCAGGTGGTGAGTGAATTACATTTTATTACGAGGTAACGGTTTTGTAGTGAGTAGATTGTAGATTTATATTTTAGATAGACTGTAGATTGTAGTTAGTTCTGTTACCTCAGAATGGATGAATGGATTACAACAGATTAGATTAATATTTCACTTTAAAATAAACAGGAAACATTTTATAATACTTTTACAATATATAGATTTAAACTATTTTATTTTATAAACACGCTAGTGATCATTAATTGCGTGTGTGATCGTAAATTATTTGAATGAAGATATAATCATTAATAATTTAATTTTATATAGATACATTTAATTCTAATTTTTTGTAATCCCATTCATGGATTGATAACTTGGCTCTACATTAGTTAGAACAATATATTGTAAAATAACGCGTATGTGCCAAAATATATTTTGCGGATATTTTATCACGACTGAAAGAAAAACAAAAGGACATAGCCATTTTAAATTTGCAGAAGAATTTACGGTAATATGTTAGACTTTTTATAGTGCGAATTATACGCGTCAAACTATAATTTATTTTTTATTTCTGAGATTGTCCGATACACTGTCACATATTTCGGAGAAAATAGCGCGACAAGTCACATTAATCGTAAGTTGCGAATTAATGACACACGAGAATTGATAGAGCAAATATAGGAAATACTCACGTAACAAGAAACATAAAAAAATTTTTTTTCAATTAACTGTAATTTTTTTTTATTAATATTCATTTTAATTAATATTTATTAAAGAGGTTTTTAAATAGGGGGGAAAGAAAAATATTATTAATACTAGAAAATTAATTACTAATGAAACGTCACTACTAATGAAGACGTCGTTCCCTCGTCGTGGGAGAAGACATCGTCATCCGTTTCTCGCATAATATAAAGAACTCGATAAACTAGTATGATAAACTATTGAACAGATTGATTCCGGCAATTCAAAAATCTAAGACACGGTAGAATATCGTGTAAACCGTACGTTTAAATGCGGGTGCGTCTCGCATACTGTCGCGTGTCAAAATGCGGGAGTATCGTGCAAAGTATCACGCGTGTAAATCAACGGACTCTGACAATGGACAATCCTGACTTACCTGAGAGGAGGAGGAGATCTGGGAAAGGCATCGAGCGCCGACTGAGCAATCCTGAGGTGAGAATTCATTATTTTTTCATTAGTTGTTTTAAATCAGAGAATTATGAGTTGTATCAAATAAAAGAAAAATTATAAAATTATATATTTGTTGTATGTTGTGCGCGCGTATCAAACATAAAATTTCTTAATACGTACAATAATCTCTCACAATTCTTAGAAATATTAATTATTTTAGGCACACTGCTATAAGTTGGATTTCAATTATTTTAGGCACACTGCTATAAGTTGGAACAATCTAGACAACCTGAGAGGAGGAGGAGGCCTGGGAGAGGCATCGGGCGCCAGCGGAGCAACCCAGAGATAAGCATTTATTATTTGTTTTTTACTTGTATTAAATCAGAAAATTATGAGATGCATAAAATAAAGGAAAAATTATAAAATTATATAATTATATATTTGTTATATGTTGTGCGCGCATATCAAAAATAAAATCTTTCAATGCGTACAATAATCACAATTCTTGGAAATATTTATTATTTTAGGCACACTGATATAAATTGGATCTCATTTATATGTTGCAGATTAATCTAGAGAGAACTAACAATCTAGACAATCTAAGAGGAGGAGGAGATCTGGGACAGCCATCGGCGGAGCAACCCAGAGGTGAGCATTTATTATTTATTAATTTATTGTTTTAAATCAAAATTTATAAAATTATTTAAATAATTTTTTTGTTTATTATCGTACATTTGGAATATGAAATTAAAGGGTACAATAATAATTTTACAACAATTACACAATTATTGCGAGCATCGCTATAATTTCGATTATTAATTATATATTATATTTGTTTGTTATAGATCTACGAAGCTTCGATACAGTCAATTGCGCATCGGGTGGTGAGTGATACGAATTACATTTTATTACAAGGTAATGGTTTTGTAATGTGTGTGATTATATATTTTTTTAAATAATTATATCATTATAATAACTTATTTTTATAATGTATTTTTTTAATTCTAATTTTTTAGAATCCATTTCTTCTGTGATAACTTGCTTTTGCACTAGTTAAAGCAAAGTCACGTTAAAATATGATGTGAGCTCTAAAAAATATTTCGTGTATATTTTATCGCATTTAAAATATCGTGTAGATTCAATATTATACAAGACAGCGTTTTAACATATATATTTATAAAAAATAAACTACTTTTTCTTTTTAAAGTTTTACGCATTACTTATGATATTTTATATCTATCAAAACTAATATTCTACATGTATTTTTTTACATTTTTACAAATTATTGCATAGCCTTGAACAATTTTATTTGTCTCTTCGCCAATAGTAAATAACATATATCGTATTTTTGTCATCGACGCATTACGCAATATTCGAATTATCATAACAAATCAGTACTCTCATTTTTTGCATTGTTATATTATGTAATTATGTTTTATGATTCTATTTTTTTCATTTATATTATCTTATTCTAAGATACGCTATAAGCGCGTCATTATGGATCATAATTACTTTAAACAGTTCCTTTCTTAATTTGAGTAAAAAAGATCATGGCTAATGTCACGGTTAATGAATATATAATCACAGAAGTTATCTTCACTTTTAATAAAACATATGGCAACGCTTTACTTAGGAGAAGTGGTAAACGGAAATAGGAAAAGGCTGTATATATGTGGTCGAATTTTCACAAATGCGCCGGATGGAATTCAATGTAAACGGTGACTTCTGTATAACGCGAGCGAGTCGCAGTTTTGCTCTTTTTATGCGTTTTATACGGGAAATTGCCATGACCATTTGTGCCAATTTTTCCCTCTGGGAAAATTCATTTAGCTTACTATTTCTAGTTACATCGATGTTCATAGTATGTATTTTTTTTATCATCCTATGGTCTTTGATTACCGCGGTGTTCCAATTAATATAATAAAATAAATAGTGTACATATATTGGTGATCAATAAATTAATTAAAGTTAGACGAATAGAAAGATTTTATCCAGCAAAAAAATCAATTATAACGAATATAAAAACTGTATACTTTAAACAGTAGAAAAGAAATTGATGCGATTTATCGGAGTTAATTGCAGTTTTCCATAGCGTCTAAATAAGATCTAGATATTATATTAAAAATTTTTAATCGACGTGAATACGTTCATTCTTTCGCATCTTGTTGCACATTCCAGACGACCTAGTTTTGCCTATATTTGCCGCAATCGAGCTATAGCCATATTCGTTTGAGTATCGCGCGCGCGCGCCGCCTCCATTCCTTTTCTGAGGGTAAAGTTCTTGAATTTTTTGTAAATTCCCAAATCAAAATTTTACTTCTATTTTCAATTTCAATTTTCTTATATTTATGGATTTTAGATTTTGATAGGTTTAATTTATATAAGAATTGAGCTTCTCTACTTTATAGATACCTCAGATAAGCAGTAAACAAATAATTTCTTATTTATAGGTTTAAAAGAAGAACTTTCGGCAAAGCTATAGATTAAATAGTTTGGAAAGAGAGTGATTTGACTGCTTAAAGTATCAAAGAAGAGATGCTAGGTAAAAAATTGTAATCGAAAGTAGAAAGATTTCGACTTATATTTTCATAAATTTTGTTCGTTATAAATGCTTTTTGCGCGATTTTCATCGTTTCGAGGAACTTTTTTCACGAAACATTTAAAGTGTAAGTTTAGCATTTTGCATTATTTAGACTAAATTCTCCATCAGCGAATTCAAATCAATTCGATTTTCCACATTTAAAAGTTAAATTTCCACGATAAAACGAGTAAATATCGTGCAATTCTATAGAATATAAAATTCTGTATCGTATTCTATATTCTATATCGTGGCGAGAAGACGAAAGCTCGATCATCTAATTTATCTATATGTCTCATGGTATGGCAAGATCGTTCCGATACAGTCCGGTGAACTAATAGCCAATTTGACTAATTGTGCCGACAATTCCAGGAGCGATAACTCCGGGAAGATTGTAAATTTGTACGGGGCGAGGTGAAATTCCCACCAGCCGTGTAGCTCGGAGATTCGGCGTGATAATTATCGGCCGCTGGGTGTTACTCAAAATGTCCAATTGTCTGGCTTGAAACTGAGCGTTAATCTGTCCGTACCCCGGATATTTCGCGAGCATGCCACTTACACTTCCGTAAGGAATCCCACCTGTTGAATGATGTAACCGATACTTATTACATTAAATGACTTATTATTATCGCAGTTATAATGATAGCGAATAAAAAATATTGCACAACGTAATTCTTTCATTTGCATAAGTAATTACAAATATAAAATTATACTAAAGTAAATTTAATATTGATTGAATATTTTTATCTCTACGTACTTCTCTTGGATTTATTATAAAATCGGAAAGTAGTAGCCTGACTTACCGTACGCCAATCCATTCACCATTTCTACCATCCCTGCGCTATCCGGTGTTGCTATCGATGATTTTAATAACGCTGCGAATCCAAATAGTAGGGTAATCTATGTATGAGAAATAACAATTTGGTGACTTTAATGCGTGTTTAACGGCGCCTTGATTATAATGGTCTTGTATTTTTATATACATGTATACAATAAATAATATAATAAATAATATAACAATCTTTAAGTTAACATTACTAATTTTTTCGGCACAATTCACATAAAATCAATCTAAAGTAGATAAAATTAAATATGTTTTTTATTAAATAAAATATTTAATAAAACATTTGCTTACTTTCTTACACAGTAAATTATTTAATGATAATTCACCGTATTTCACTCTTTTATTATGCAATAATACAACTTTTGCAGTAAAAACTCTGTTCACCTGATTTCTCATAAATTAAACATAGGTATATCACGATTATGTCATCGTTATCGAATATTTTAATAAGCGATTAATAAGCGAGATTGGTATCGCGTAGGCGTTTGACCTCGAATCCAGTTACATTAGCAATTTAAGCAATCAAAGAAAAAAAGATGTAATATATAGAAAGCGTGTCGTGCTTTACATGCTAGTTTCTCGCACGTTTTAGTGTAGCGCGATAAATCCGCGGATAAATATATAATAATTGTTTAATGCTAGATTTTATATAAAAAATAATATTTCAACACATCGAATAAAATAATACTGATACGTTTAATTTGTTATCAAGAACATTACTAAATTTGAGATATTATCATCACATATAATTATCAGAACCCTTTCGCTCTTCTAGAATCACTCTCCCGAAATTACTAAATTTTGTTTTCGTTTACGAAACGTTTTTCACGTACCTTGGCAGAAAGCATATCGCCGTTTTCAGCAAGACACGACACGTACTGAACACAAAGTATACAAAAACAAAGATCGAATTATGTTGCGTGGTCTGGAGTAGCATGCGTATTAACGTTGACTAAGCACAGACTCAGTATTCCCTTTCAGTCGCGCGCGTTTTATTCGTCCGTCTAGGATTTTATTAGAGTGCGCGTGCGAGAATATTATATCATCTTGGGACACCTTAACCTTGGGAACTACCTCTCACATCGGCGCGGTTACTCTTATCCTGCGCTCCAAGAACCGATTTCCTTGACGAGGCACCGTTTTCTTTTTGTGCTCCGTTTAGTTTGAACGAGGCTAATGCGACGCGAGTCCTCGCCAAATGACAACAATGTCTTTTTAGATTAAGATGCGACTGAGCTAATGAATAAAAACGCAAATTACTACCAATAACGCTCGCATTTTGTTCGTGAGAATTGTTATCAATTTAATTAGCGGAGGACTGATATAATGACGGGAAGAGAAGTAAACAAAATTAAGATGAATAAGACGAATTATTGTCATTTTGAAAATTATAGAGACAAAACAGAATTTAAAAAAGATATATTTCATGGCAATTATATCAAGAAAGCTTTTACATATAATAAATATATGCGTATCATCTATTGTTTAAATAACACCAGCGTAGAAATTAATCGCGTCTAATTAGTCATGTGTGCATCAAGTTAATTTTATTTTTTTTTACGCGAAGACGCTTGTTGTCATTTCGCGATTGTCTAATGTAATATGATCATTGCGACGTACAATGTATTTTTATAAAATAAATACATCTCTTTATGCTCAACAAGAAAAAATTCTTGGAAAGGTCGTATTTTACAGACGGAAGATTGCATCACTCTCGTAACAAAGTAATTTGAATTAATTTAATAATTATCATTACCGATAATCTGTAAGAGGAGCATCTTGAGAAACGTGTATTACATAAAATAATTGAGTAGTGTCATTTAATTCTGCGTTTCTTTATGCAGATTGCGTGAGGAGTCATTTATGTCAAGGAACGTTATTTTTTTACTCGTCCTTAGATTTGCATTTGCATACAAGTTGAAATAATCAGGAGATTCTCCTTTACAAGTTTCTTATTGATCACATATTAGATTAATATTGTGTCTACCATTGTCTGTATAATTGTTGCAACTCGGCCATGAAAGAAAGAAGCGAAAAGAAAAGAAGCACAAGCTAGAAATCTTGAACTACATTCGCGCACATGTGTATAATTTATTTGACAACGACAGATTACTCATGATGGATATATATTCGTAATGCCTTTTCGAGCGGCTGATACCTCTTTTCTAGCTGTGGTCACCAATGAGACGCGCGATCGGTTCGCGCGCACCTTTCCTTTCCGGTATGGTATTCCATTATTGCAACGCGAGACAAAGTTTTCTTTCTCTTTGTACGCTTGGTTATTCTAATCACTTGTACACGTGATCAAGGTAAAAATGGATCAATTACGCGCCTCGAGTAATTTTACATGGTTGATGTGGCTTTCAGAGTACATCTAGGATGTCTTAAGAGAGAAAACGCTGGCTGCATGCATTATAAAATATTAATAACAGAAATTTATGTGAACAAAACAGTTCCTACTGTTCTAAACAATATTTTGCTTATTATTTCTTTAATAATAATTTTTTAGATATATTAAGAGCGATGTATTCTTTTATAAATTGAAAACAAAAGCTAGAAAAAAATTATGTTAATTCAATATATGACAATATACGATCAAAATATCTTAATTTTTAATTTTTCGTAAAGAAAGATGCAATATTGCAAAAAAGCAAGAATGAAGGATAATGTCCATTACTTTGGTCGGCACATCTTGTATATGCATGGTCATATAATGAGGTAAAGTGTATGCACTAAAACTTCGTTCCATTACGGATAATTGCTCTGCATTTCTCTCGTTAATCGATCGATGCAAATGAATAGAGTAATTATTAGCAAGTCGTTTATTAAACAGCACAGAAAGATTATCGCACTCGTTTAACAAAAATTAGATCAAGGCTATCCACTCTTCAAAAACGAGCCGCGATTATGTAACAAGGTCAATAATCTCGCAAATCACAATGATTGTTATGATAATATCTGCTGAAATATTGCAGTTACAGAAGAGAGAGCGTTAAAAGAGATTAATTTAATAAAAACCGTGATTATATATAATTATTAAATAATCATTATAATTAAAAATAACTGACACAATTCGATTAAAAAAGTGTTTGTGATGAGAGAAAGCGCTTGTTTGTTAAATTAGTTTTTAATAAAATATATTAGTAAGATAAAAATATTATAAAAGATTTTTTTCATTTAGATAAATTATAATATTTGAATATACAAAGTAAATTATTGCGTCTTTTTGAATTAAATTACATATTTTATATATAAATCGTTTTATAGAACAATTATTGCCATCAAGAGAAAAAAATCCCGTTAAATAATTTGCTTTCTCTTCTGTCTTATGCATAGAATATTACGTATTATAATTAATCACAGCTTAACAAAACAAAGTATTGTAACAATATTGCAATATTCACGCTTATGTCATCGAACAATTAATTTCGTGGGAAAGATTTTATCGCCGAGATAAATCCAAGGTTTTATTTCGAAAGCGGATGAATTGTATCGCCAATCAAGCTTAAAAAAAAATGGCAATTGTCGGTGCATTATGAATCCATGAGCGAGCAGAAAATTTTTCTTTGTTATCCAAATGACAGAAAATATAATTTCTCCAATGTTTCACACGATTTCTTCGTCTGGGTAACGAAAGAACTAATACTACGTTTTATTATGCAATCCTTCTGTAACGTTCGTTTATAACTAAGTAAAGTATTCTGTATTATATACATCGTAATTATATACCGATTCGAAAAGAAACTATTACAACACCTTCGTCTGGACCGGATTTAATCATCCATGTCTAAAATGCACTTTCTCTAGAGAATAGCGATTAATTAGTTCTGAAATACAAAATTCATACCACAATCATCGTTATTAAAATATTCTGCAGTAAATGTAACATATTCTGAATATATGTGACTATTATAAAAATTAAACATATATATATTGTAAAAAATAAAACATATAATAAACATAGATATATTAAAATAAAATACGAGTATTCGGCATTTTTTTGTTTCGTTTATAAAAATTCCAAAAATTTATAACAATGTTCGTTTTCTTAATAAATAATCAAAACGTTGAGATAAATTTTAAACAATTTCTAATTTTTTAAAAAATATGGTTGGGCTTACTTGTATATTATTGAATGAAATAAAAAAAAGCTAAAATTGATTATAAGTTTTAAAGCTAAATAAATTTTGTATAATTATCTAAAACTATTAGTAAATTATTGCGTCTTTTTGAATTAAATTACATATTTTATATATAAATCGTTTTATAGAACAATTATTGCCATCAAGAGAAAAAAATCCCGTTAAATAATTTGCTTTCTCTTCTGTCTTATGCATAGAATATTACGTATTATAATTAATCACAGCTTAACAAAACAAAGTATTGTAACAATATTGCAATATTCACGCTTATGTCATCGAACAATTAATTTCGTGGGAAAGATTTTTTCGCCGAGATAAATCCAAGGTTTTATTTCGAAAGCGGATGAATTGTATCCCCAATCAAGCTTAAAAAAAAATGGCAATTGTCGGTGCATTATGAATCCATGAGCGAGCAGAAAATTTTTCTTTGTTATCCAAATGACAGAAAATATAATTTCTCCAATGTTTCACACGATTTCTTCGTCTGGGTAACGAAAGAACTAATACTACGTTTTATTATGCAATCCTTCTGTAACGTTCGTTTATAACTAAGTAAAGTATTCTGTATTATATACATCGTAATTATATACCGATTCAAAAAGAAACTATTACAACACCTTCGTCTGGACCGGATTTAATCATCCATGTCTAAAATGCACTTTCTCTAGAGAATAGCGATTAATTAGTTCTGAAATACAAAATTCATACCACAATCATCGTTATTAAAATATTCTGCAGTAAATGTAACATATTCTGAATATATGTGACTATTATAAAAATTAAACATATATATATTGTAAAAAATAAAACATATATAATAAACATAGATATATTAAAATAAAATACGAGTATTCGGCATTTTTTTGTTTCGTTTATAAAAATTCCAAAAATTTATAACAATGTTCGTTTTCTTAATAAATAATCAAAACGTTGAGATAAATTTTAAACAATTTCTAATTTTTTAAAAAATATGGTTGGGCTTACTTGTATATTATTGAATGAAATAAAAAAAAGCTAAAATTGATTATAAGTTTTAAAGCTAAATAAATTTTGTATAATTATCTAAAACTATTTTTAAGATTAACTTCGTTTTTATTTATTGTTTTATAATAGAAAAAATTGAAAATGTCTTTTTGTAATTGAATGGTAAATTCCTTAGCTGTAGTTATTTACGTTCTATATAATAATATAGCCTGTGCTCCGGATCTTTTATAAACTTAGCCTGTAATAATGGTCTCTGTCTGTCTTCCGTGTCTTTTTCTCCTTTTTCCGTCTCGCTGCTGTGTTGCTCTTTCCATTCTTCATTTATCCTACTCGATTCACTTTCGTCGGCTTGATCATTTTTTATTCGATTAGGTGGAACATTTTGCAGTAGGTTGCTTACTGTATAAGCCTAAAATCATAAAATTTAGATACGAATGAGTCATGTTATGATAAGTATATGAATCTGAACTGTCTTGTGATGTGGTGACAAACTTACCTCTGTCGACATCCAAAAGTCACCGTCGTCACTATCGTTCTTGTCATTACTAATTCCATCGTAAATATTATAATCATTTATCTTTTTAACTTCATCCTTCTTTATCTCAAAACTTTTAACAGGATCTTTATTTTTGACGGGAGATTTTTCTGTTATCGCCGATCTTTTGATCTCATCTGTATTAACGAGTTTAATACCGTAATCTTTTTTATTAGCCTTTTGTTCTATCAACTTTTCCTTATCAGTTGAATTTCTATTATTATCTTTTTGCTTATTAATATTCTTTTTGCGTCTCGATTTGATTTTTAATTTTACCTCCGGCTCTTTTCGAGCAAATGTCATGTTCGCGGGATAAAAGTTTTCTACTTCGTTCGGATAAGTAGTCTTCGTGACAATTTTTTCCTTCGAGACTTTCGATCGATGTTCGACCGTCCGCGTTTTCGGAGTTGAAGTTTCAGTTTCGGGATTGTCAGTTTGTATCGTTTTAACCGTAGTATTCTTTTTGGAAGAATCCGACGTATTTGTCTTTGTAGACTCGTCTGCCTTGGAATATTTCCTTTGAACGGACGTGAAAACTGACTTACTCGTGTCAAGGTCGACGCTCGGCGAAGGCGAAACTAACGCTTGAGGTTTCCTGCGTCTTTTTTTGATAGGTTCAAAAATAGGCTCGGCAGATGCATTATTAAAGGAAATCGTAGAATTGTTCTTCCAGATTCTTTGTCGATGTTTTTTACGTGGTTCAATCGTGAAAAAAGGTTCTTTCGTGCTGTTAGACAACTGACTCACTGTCTTTATACGCGATTCTGAATCGTCTACGTTACTTTTGTTCAGCTTCTGATATTCCACCACTGGATTTTCTTCTTCTTCTTTATTAATGATTCCTGGGCTTTTTAATTTTTTCGAATCATAGGGCGAGTTATTCGATGCGTTCGTCTCTACTTGAGAGATTTTTCTTCGTCTATTTTTTTTTCTTGGCGGTTGTGTGATGTCTTCCGGTACGAGCGTTCCTCTGGGTGGTAATGATTTCCGTGCGAATAAAGGAGAGCGATCTTCGGTTTTTTTCAAAGTTTTCTCTTTGAAGCCGTCATCTACATCTTCCTCCAAAAATTTTTTGATGGATCGACTGATCTCTCCCGCATTTGACGGTTTTACTCTGTCACTGGAACTATATTTGCTACTGAACTTCGTTAATGGCAATCTCTCGGTGGCAGATTCTTCGCTATCGTCGATATATTTGTGTGAGATATCGCGTCTACGCGTGTTCACACGAGTCTTGGAGGGAACATCGTATCTCTCCCAAGCATAAATGGGTCTTTCGTATCTCGTAGACTCTTCTTCGTCCTCGTCGTCGAAAATCAGCTTTCTGAGCCTATTGGCTCGTTTCTGTTTCCTTCGTTGTTCCCTTGCCTGTCTCTCTCTCTTCTCCCAAGGATATTCGTATCTTTCGTAGTTCTGTAACCACTTGCGTTTGTCTTTCTTATTTTCATTATCGGCATGCCAAGGAAACACGTAATCTTCATTCTTTTCCTCGCTCTCCTCTTCGGAATCATCCTCCTCGCTTTCCTTTTTGAACTTTGATTTATATCTTGAAAATGGAAATGGACGATAAAACGTTTTTTTTTCGAAATCTTCGTTATCCTTTTCTTTTTCAGCCGACGATGGTCGTTTCGTATACGTGAAAAACGTCTGATCCTTTTCAGAAGCTTCCTCTTCTTTTGAAGAAAGTTCCTCTGAATCGTCGTCTCGCACAGACGAGTCCGTCTTCATCGGCGTTTCGACTTGTTCTTCAGTTTTCTCGGAGAAATCATCAGTCTCTTCGTCCTGCTTTTTTTCGTCGTCTTCTAACTCATGATTTACGTCTGCGCGATATTTGCTCGGTAATGTCGTCGTTTCCTCGGAGAATGTTTCTGCGTATCCTGGTGGATCAGATGCCAAATATTTTTGTAGATCCAGGACTTTCTTCGAGTTTGAAGTCGTCGATCTCTTCGTGGTTGTGAAATCGTGCTCCTCATCGATGTCCTCGCGAACTTGATACATGTTTGGCGCATTTTCTGTTTCTTCCTCGGTATTTTCCGCAGATTCAACATCGACGCTCTCTTCTTGTTCTGGATGTTCATCGTTTCTGTAGATTATTTGACGCAGAACAGATTCTTCTGCACGATACATTTCAGTTGTGCTACTTTCCCCACCTTCTGTCGATGACGTTATATTATCTATTCCAAATATGCTTTCGGTCGAATTCATTATCGTGGAATTGTTCCGCCAATCATTGTTTAGTTTCTTCTTTCTTTTAAGATAATTATACCGGGGCTCTTTTCGCCTGCTGTCTTCGTCTACCGTTTTCGAACTCGTGCTAAACTTACCGAATTTTCTCGTATTCAATTTAGGCTTCGAGTATCTGATTCGATCCCTGATTGTGTAAATGATTTTGTGAGAAGGTTCGCTCGTCTCGTTACTATACGTGGAGTTTCTTCGTCTCTTCTTATCGTCGATTTTCGGAATCGTCGATAAATTTCGACCTTGCATGTTAATTTGTCTGCTCTCTTCGATATCCAAGTCCAGCGTTTCAGGCGAGTTTGTTTTATGCATCGCTTTTTCTATTGATTTTACGATTGTATCATTTCCGATATTGATTTTTGCAGATTTTATAGTTGTAGTCTTTTCATCTTCATTAATCATACTTTCAGAGGAATTGTTTGCGACATCGTCCGTCGTGCTGCGCTTATTTATCTTGATGGTATGATGATGAGCGATGATACGAGGAAGATTCGAAGATCTCAGCAAAGACACTCTTCTCTTAACCGGTCTGTATTTTCTATAAATCGTTTTTCTCGGAGCTGAATACTTCGGAGGTGGCACTAGTCCTTTGATCTCCGACGATTTCGTGTTGCTCGTGACATCCGTAACGTCATCAACATCAATAACATCCGCCAACGATGTATTGTTTTCCTCCGAAGAAGAATTTGGCGTAACGTTCGCAATCTTTAATATTTTCTCACTACCAGCAGTCGCCAAGATCTGCGATGGCAAGGTGGTTATCTCATAGACCTGATAAGCGCTCGCCATGTTTCTGATGTTGCCCATCACATCCTCGTATACCTGGTTTTGATAAGACGTAGTCTGATGCATTTTCGGCGACTGCGTAGTGGTACTAGACACTTTTGGCCTCAATTTTCGATTCTTCGCTTTATGCACCGGATTAGGCGGCCTCGAGTCTCGCACGGTGTGCAGATACGCGTTCCTGCCTCTTCCGGTCTGTGGATCGTGCTTGTAATTGATGTGTATCGAATCGTGCATTTCATACGGTCGATTTCGGTTTCGCCACTGACGACTACTGCGTTCCGGCTTCTTCGAGACATGATGCACGATGTATTCGTCGTTGTCTTTAGGTAGCACCATGATTCTCGAGGCAAACTTTACCGGGTCCAATTCCGACGGCGGAGTCGGCGTCTCGATCAGCTTTTCAGCGAACAGTGGATTGTCGAAAGGATTCTCGTCGAAGTACTTGGCCTTGAAGCAATCCAGCTTGTCTCCCAGACCACGAAGACGCGGTAGATTCTCCCGCGGACCTCGCTCGGGATCTGGCTCCTCTTTCTCAGGCAGCACTTCATCCACGTTAGACTCCACCTCGTCGCACTTCCTGTAAGCGTTCCGAGAATTATAGAACTCCATTCCACGCGAGGTCTTCCGCGGTATCGTACTAGGATCTACGACGTATTTCAAGGCGGACGTGCTCGGTACGTCTCTGTTCTTATAAAATGGATATTTCTTCGAATCTATGACGGCTTCCGTTGTTGTGGAAGGTTCCACTAGGCTATCTTCAGCGAGCTCTTCGATGTAATCGAAGCTGGGAACTTCAGTTTCGATTTTTTCTTGCTCTTCGATCTTTGACGAAGTTTCATTGTTATCATTAAAACGCGTGGCAATTTCTTTATCGATAACCTTGCTATTAATTTTGGGAGATTCATTCAACAGTTCTTCATGATTTCTTGTGTTTCTTCTTAATCGCGTTTTAATCCGCAGAAAATTTCTCTCTTTATTTCTCTTTTTTGTCAATCTCTCGATATTCGTATCATTTTCATATCCATCTTTTTTTGTTGATTGAGTCGATATTGGATCTTTTTCATCTGACTTTAAATTATGGATTATTTTCGCATCTTTAACGTTCTCGTTTTCACCATTAGCGATAGTGGTCTTTTTGTCTATTAAAGTCGTAAATGTTCCGTTCTTGCCGTGTCTCGGTATCGCGAGGGATGCTAGTCTCGTCGTATCTGGAACATCAATTATCGGCGCATCGATTACTCTACGATTCGCCGATTTTCCTTTCGCTTTGTCAATTATCCTATTGAATGTATCTTTATCTCGTTGCTCCGATTTATTGTCATTGGTCACACCATTGTTTGCCGCCGCTTTCACATTGACGGCCGTGCCGTTGCGAAACTCGGATCTCTTTCTCCTGGATCGTGTTCTCCAGTTCGCTTTGGAGACTAGCGGGAAATACTTGAACGCATTATCGCGCTTTTGCTGCGGTTTACCACCGGCATAAGAAGGATAATTGTCACTCTGCCAATCGTTATGATAATTGGCATAAATGCTCGTCAACGGCGGTGGCAGCAGCTTCGTGGCTGGAAGCGGATTATTGCGATAGATCAGACGCACAGGTTGAACGTATGCGAAAGGCTGAATGTTAGAACGCAACGGTAAATCAATCGGTTGAGAATAAAATTGATCTTGCAATAAGCTTCCCCAGTTAGTCTTCCGAGGCGTTTCACTTTCGACGAACACGCTCGAATAATGATTTATAACCGGAGGACGTTCGCTCGGAAAAATCGAATAAGTGGCCTGAAGTGTTGGCGGTCTCATCAGGGTAAGATCTTCTGGAGAAATGATCTTTTTTTCCGGAAGAGATTGAGTATTTTGCTTGCTTTTAATATAATTCAGCATCTTGTTGTATTTCGCGTTCAGCTCGTCACGGATCTTCTTGTTCTCGTCTTCTTTCTTAGAGATAGACGATGATGGAACTTGTTGGGGCGTTGGATGAGCGTCGGGTTTAACGGGTTTTTTCTCCGATTTTGGTCTCATCGCGATCTTATATTTGATTTTGTTTTTGGCAACGACAATCTTATTGTCGTCGAGAACAGATCCGAGGAAAGGATTTTCATGATAATCAGCTATTCGAGAGTAAGCTTCTTGGGTGATATTGAGCGTCATGACAGCCGGAGTGCTGCTGGACGTTGTACTGTCGAGAAGATTCGCCGGAGATGAACGTTCCGTGTCTTCAGGATTCAACGACGGCAAGGATTGAAACAGAAGGGGTTGCACGCTGGTGTACGTCGCGACTGTGGACACCACGTTGTTGACATAGTCGACGTCATCTCTCTTTGTCACTAAAAGATACGGACCGTGACCGTCGATGCTCGCCAGTGCAACCGGCGTCCG